CTTTGTCTACAGGGCAGCCTTTTGTCAGATGGGTAATTGGATGGTAACTGTGGTGAAATGCGCCATGGAATAAAATCTGCAAGAAGAAATTAATTCAAATATTTAACCGATGCAAGTGATCGGTTGGAATAGTTATTCTTTTTACTCTCCATATACGACATCCCTCAAAACCTTACCCTAACTGCAGGTCCTTCCTCGAGCATCCATAACTCAATCGCCACGGAAGCGGTATACTTGGGCAAACCTCCACGAATCACATCCATCTCATCTCCAAATGTAGTCAGCAGTGCCGCGACTGTCGTGTCATGCTGGAATGATTAAGCCGCTCGAAGAACTTATAAACAGAAGCAATTGAGCAGAAGCGGAGATAACCAGTTTTGATGCAATTAAACAATTTGTGGAGAGTTCCTACTAGGTTTCTGAGCATATATATCATCGTATTTCAAGTGCATCTTTCATTAATTCAGTCAAACCTAATAACGAAAATGAATTACTTTTTTTTCTTACCGCAGAATACGCATAATATTTGATATTGTTGATCCATCCACAGTCTACGTTGGTTGTCGTATTCTTGTGGCACATCAACTTGTGATTCATTAAATCCATTATGGACCTTAGCATTGGACCTGAAGTCGACAAAGTGCATAAGAGTTTCTAACACGACAATAACGCAGACTCTCAAATTTTTAAATTCTGACCTCCTCTCAAACGAATCAGTTCAGGTACGTACGGTTCTGCAATACCATAATTGTACTCGTTGACAATCTGAGTAATATTCCGCAGGCGATGCGATACTTCATCTGTCAGCCAGGCTGGTTGGCTCATTCCATAGATCTTCTGCAGTGTGCTACATCACTTTCAAATTCTTTACCTTTTCTTATACGTTCTTCTAACTACAGGAGATACAATATCATTAATGCCTTTTTTGAATAAAAGCATTGCTGACAGTAACTACTCAAACAACGTATTCAGCAAAAATGATCTAATTATTGAAGACTGAATCCCTGTTACCACGAACTTACTTCAATGTGATGCGCATCATGGACCAAAAAGATATTGCTCAATGTAACTTTCATTCCAGTCTTCTCAGAAAGAAAATCAAGGAATTCCTGAAAATAGTCAAAACTAAAGGATTATACAAGATGTTTCTACTTTATTTTGTGATGTTCTACCTTATTGTCCCCCTCCAACTTCCGATATTCTTCACTCTTTTTTAACTCTTCATCCAACTGCTCTGCGCGAGGACATGGCGCGAAAACGTTGCCAGCCTAGTTAGTCCACAATAGCTTTAAAACTTTTGGGTTTTTAAGTCTTACATGGTCCTCTGCTCCTGGTAGTGTGTGCACAGGAATAGGTGTCCATCCATGAGGCCAACTAAATTATTGCAGAGAAGTGGAAGCATTAAGATATTTCAACTTACTCACTTTCCAAATTCGGGATAATCTTTACCCTGTTCACCTTCGTAAAACATTCCAGCAAGATTAGCATAAGCGGAAATAAGAGTGCGGTTGACATCTGTAGAACGGATGTAGATCTGTAACACATAATAAGCTGCATGGAACTACACAGAACTTAAAGCACATCAAATAAGAATTGCACACAAAATAAGAGATGAAAAGCTCGAGAAATTATTGCTTCCTAACTGTTTTAAGAAACATTTGCCATTTTGATGTATTTAGATCAGTAAAATTCTTCTTGAACTTGTCTTACTTAACATTTTGTGTCAAGCTTTTGAGTAAGCTTGGTCAAAGTTCCAATCAA